CCATTTCCCTGTGGGAATTCATTCGCTTTCTCCTCCCCTATTCTAACTGGGGTTCATTGAAAAATAGCCCACTTACCGTGCGTCGTGGCCTCTTTTTATCATAAATCAATCGTGCCTTTCCGGTTGCTCGCTTCCTCGACTTCTTCCTCCCTCTGCCCTGGGTTCCTATTTCCCTCGCCATTTTTCTTTCTTCTGACCTCTTACTCGCTTCTATGCACCGGACCGCTTCAATACTCGGCTAAAATGATCCACCAATGCGACTAATGGTACACTCCTCTATTCGTCTAACGCAGTGACTCTCAACGGCGGAAATATCGTCCCTCAGGGGTCGTCCATATCAATTTTTATCAACTGAAACAAAACATTTGTAACTCTCGGTTAATACCGTTGGGTCACAGAGTAACCGAGACTGTTTCGATTGTATGGTTTACCCGATTGTTAGTCACTAGTACACATAACCTGCAATTTTTTTAAATACGCGAAGAAATTAGGTACTGTTAGTCTATTGCAGTGAAAAGAAGTTTTATTTGTTTTCATTGGTAGCGACAATAGAGACTGTGGCGGTTTGCTGTTTGTCGCAGAGTGTATGTATAGGAATAAGTGGGTGGTCGAGTACTTGCGAAAGAGCGTAGCCCTCTGCTGGCGAGCGCGGGAAACGTCGCCACAAGATGAATGCTTACGTCGTTCGACAGAATGATTCAAGAGATAACTTGATAAGCAAAATTTCTTTGGTGAGAAAAAATACTTCAAAATTTTGAAAGAAAGGCCCCCTATACTCTTACAGTTTATTTAACTATATAATCTTGGAAATTCGTTTCCAAATAAAATTTTAACAAAAGAAATAAATTAAATAAAATGATGTATGTGAAATTAAGTTAAGTCTTAAACATTAATTTCGATTGAATAAATATGTGTGTATTTTCTTTTAGTTAAATTATAGATGGCAGTTGAGAGTCACTGATCCAATGGATGGTTACTTTGCCAGTCTATTAAACGTCCAACGAGCTGGGAACTGATGAAACTCAGTTGTGCAATGTACGAAGTGATTTGAACATGTAAAATATTCTCAGAAATTTAAAACTTCCAACTAGATAATTCCTGCCATAATTTCCGTCACGAGTATTATATCGAACTGTAAAATATTTTCACTTTCTTTCTTGCCGTACCATTTATCGCGAAACATTACGTAACCTGCATTAATTTTAATTAACGGTTTTTTTCACACCAGCTTTTAATACCCTTCGTACAGTAAAAAAGGATCAGGCATAATGAGACTTGCGAAAAAGTCAACGTAAAAGGCTGAAGACGAACTCGTTTCGTGTAATTAACGACATCTGTAGTTACTCTGTCACCAATTATAGGAACAGCGTCGTCTCGTTATTTCACGTGACTGAAAATCATGCCGGAAACCTATGTAACGTTTAATATCAAATTTTAACGAATGATCGTTTATGAACTGTGAACAATAAAATATAATTAACCGCTAACGATGCACACGAACGACTCTCGAAACACTCTTTTTTTGGAAACGGCGGACAAACGAGTTATTTTCTAAGTCCTCGAAAAAAATATGCCATTATTCATCGCGTAGTTGTAATCGATTCATTCTACTTTCAACTTTGCGAATCCATTGTGTTCTTAATTCAGTCTCTTCTAAGAAGCTGCCACGAACGAGGATCAATAGTGTTTCCGACACGTTCTTTTGTTTGTTCATTAAAGGTGCCTCGAATACGAGGGTAATAAATTTTTGTTAACCTATATCGATGAATTTTTTGAAACGAATTTTTATGAAAATCATGTTCACGGCGAGAAGTTCCTATAACTTCTTCTGGGTTTGATGGAACTTTATGAGTTTATGGAACGATTAAGTGATGCAGAGTTCCTTTTCTCCGACGTACTCCAGTTTCAAGGAGCGAACTTGTGCTGCGAAGCTCTTGCTCACTCAAAATGGAAATGATGCGAGAAAAGTTTCCAAATATAACTCGGTGGATTGGATATACGCAACTAGACTTTAGGAAAGACATAAGCATTAATGATTATCTAACGATGACAGAAGTCAAAATTCGTAACATAAATTTCTTGCTTTTTGCAAGAAGTTAGCTATATACAAAACTGCTTACGCAACACTGTTCATACATAGACAGGATAATATAGCAATGTATCGTACCGAACAAAACACAACCAACGCAAACATACTTCTGCATTTCATCCAACTGATTATGTCTTTTGAACATTTATTGAAAAACGAGACGTATTCACAGCCTCCTGTTTTAATTGATGATGTCAAAGTTAAAATCACAACTTGTTAGAGCAGAAAAGATAGATCGACGAAATAACCGAACTCGGTCTAATAGATGCATAACTGGTTTCTTTATAAATGGACTAAAAAATTACTACACTTTCAGGATTACAATCTAAGCACACATAACAAATTATGTGTGAATACAAACAGTGATATGCGGAATTCCGCATATAATTTTGTTACGTGTGTTCAGATTATAATCTTGAAATTTCGATAAAGTCGAAATGATACATTTTTGTTTTAGTAATGGGTTTAAGTTTGAACATTCAATGCGTTATTCGTTTAGATCCGTCACTGGTGCCACTGCCTGCATGGTCTATCGACAGCTTAAACCCATTGCTTGTATCGAAACTCTATCTACTATAGAACTTAATGTAATAAAAAATATAAAAAAGCGAATAATTCAATGTCTGAAAATTTTAACGGAAGATTCTAGAGGCCAAAATAAGATGAAAATTAAGAATATCAATTTCTTGACTGAGGTTTCGTTATAAAGTTACTAAAAAATTAAAATAAAAAATTTGAAATTATTCTGAAAAAATTATTTTCGGTAGCGGGGGTCAATTACAATCATTTTTGGTGAATGCACATACCCCCGAAATCCTACCCACTTTCGAGAAAAAAATTCGGGTATATGCTGAAATTCTTCGGCAAAAATATTTTTCAAATCGTTCTAAAAAAATTATTTTCGGTTGCAGCGGTCAATTACAATCATTTTTGGTCATTACACATACTCCTGAAATCCTACGCATTTTCGAGAAAAAAATTCCTTACCGAAAATCCAATCTGAGGCCACAAATGGTTCCCCGATGCGAATCTTTAAAATGTCATAACTTCTGAACGGATTAGGGAATTTTAATGTTTCAAACGTCAAACAACGCGTATTTTGGTAAAGAATATGTAAAAATTCCAAAAATATTCGAAAAGTTGCGCCCTTAACCCAGTAAAGTGAAAAAAAGTCCATAAAAATGGTACAATTATCAAACAGCCACAACTTCTACAATAGTGAACGTATCTCAATGAAATTTAGTATAGAACTAGAGCTCATGGATACCTATAAAAAAGTACTGAACAACACTTCTGTACAGCGCCAATCAAATTTATTAAAAATGAAAAACGAATTTTTAAGAAAAATTGGCAAGGGGTGCCTAAGTAGTGGAAAAATTATTTTCTGTTGCGAGGGTAACTTTTTAACGAAGCCTCCATCAACAAATTGGTATTCTTGATTTTTGTCCTATTTTGTCCTCTAGAATCTCCCATTACAATTTTTCCCAGGGGTGGCCGAACACCCTGTATAGATGAAAAAGCAAATGCATTCCAGAATCCTGTTGAGTACTGCTATTTTGTTAAAAATGAACCAAGATGCCATATTTGTGGTAACGTGGCAATAATTAAATGCACATGGTATAAGAAATGTTTATGTTTCAAATATTTTTTCGACGAGTACCACTATTGTCGAAACTACATGGAATAATTGCTATACAAACTATATGTATTTATAATTTATAAATTGCTCCACCTTTGCCACGATGTTATAGGTGGGCAATAAAAACAATTAATCTTTTCATTGCCGTTAAGAATCTTGTTACTGTTATTGTTACTTGTTACTTGTTACTGTATAATTTAGTGCAAGCCTACAATGCTTCATTAAGCAAGATGTAAATCATCAAAATCTGCAACACTGTAAGCGGCAATTTAAAAATATTACATACCAATGGATTTGGAATAAAATGCTCGTTATTTTTTGTCATTATGAAAATTTCAATAAATAGAAAATAAGTTAATACATTTTTTTTGTTATAAACAAATTATATTTTGTTAAATTGTTTAACACCATGTTATTGTACATAAAAAAGCATTAACCTCGCTCATCAACAATTTTTTGGTATGTCTTTCCGTTTTCGAGATAGCCGTTTCGAGCCAAAACTTCAAGGGGTGGTTTCACCCCTTAAACTCGAGTTACCGCAGCTAAAAAAAATATGTGTTGATTATTTTTGGCTGCTTTATAAGTGTACATCGTTTCATCAAAATCGAAGCCGGACCGTTCGCGAAGGTTTCTTGTCAGTTTCTAAAATCACCTTAATCACATAGTTTTTAAATTAGTACACTAATTTCAGTGTTATTTTCTGTATCTTGAGCTTTGTATCAAGTTTTGAGAAAATGATGAGAATCAATGAATTTTAAAGTAGCAAAAAGTGTATGTGTTTAGTCTGCTGCAATATTGTGGAATTCAGATTGCACTTAATAGTATTATTTCGAGCATCGACCGCAGCTCCTGTGCCAAATTGCCTCTTAGAACCGTCTATGGAGATATATGGGAAATTGTAATATTCCTGTCACAATATTAAGTGTAGGTGTTTCTACACCTCGCAAGATGAATTCGAATTTTGGAGTCGAAAAACTGAGAATTTCGACGTTCATGGTTACGAGACTATTTCAATTTTTTATATGTGAAATACATTGGTTTTTATCTCGGTAGAATAGTTAACTGGTTATTTTATAGTCAGTAATAACATACGAATGATAATATTAGTGAAATCTTATACTCTCGTATTATTGTTTGAGTTCATTTTTAGTTGTCTTTTAACGATGGTTCGATAATTTCGAATTCCCGAGCAACAGAAAAATGAACTTGTTTTATTGTTTTCAGATTGCCAACTGGAACCCCGAACTGTCATCGCAAAAGCGGTTCATTCTCATGGCAGCACGGAAACTCGCAGCCCTCCTCGCCGCGATTCTACAGCTTTGTTTATGTAAGTGAAGCTCTTTTTCTCCAGGTTTTCATTGGCGCAATCGACTGAACCGTGAACTGTGCCTCGCAAACAGAATGTCAGATCTGATCCTTTCTAATTCATCGAATAAACATCAGAATATTTTTAAGTCAGACTGTGAAACAAACCTTATAAACTGAACCTCCAAACATTACTTTTTATTTAATTTTCTAAGTTAACACGGTAAATAAAAAAAAAAATATAATATTGAGACCCAAGCTCGTCCATCGCCCGAGCGTAATTCTGATCGCAAATTTGTTTCCAAACGACGGAAAATATTGTGTCTGACAAGGGTTCGGTAGTAAATGAAATTTCTCAATGCCCTTAATTCGATTAGCTTCAAGAAAATTAATTTCTCTTGAACTTCGCGCGTTCGACCTTAAGCACTTTCGCAATCTTTATTCCCCCGCGTGGCTGGGTGTCACCGGTAATTATATTGCGTTAAAAGCATGCTTGGTAAATCCTTAAATCCAGTTTCTCGCGATCCATGGGAATAAGTTTACGGCGACGAAAACGTGGCCGGCAGAGGTGCCGTCGTTACAGAGTACATTTATCCACGTAGTGGCATAACTAAGTAGCGGTGGCTCGGCGTGGCGAATAGCTTTTTAACCGTTCCTATCAGTCTAAAAAGCCTGAGGTTCTGTTACTTACTGGAAGGGCTATGCCGCTATTCAGTCCGGAGGCTGCGTGCCCAACTAAATCACGCCGGATTTAAGTGGATTCTACAAACTCCCCTACACCCGACTACGACGATGTATTGCCCTTGTAGGGTAGTTGCGGCGCCATTCTACCGCAACGAGGATATACTCGACTAAGATTCTCTTAGCCCAGGATCCCTTTCCTCCGCTGCTGTTACTTCTGCCGGATCTTATGAACACGTCAACGATAAAAAGAAATAAACGTCTTAATTCGATTTCCTTTACCTTTAATCCGACTCGTCTTCTCAAGCTATCCTAAATAAAATTTCAACCTTAACCTCTGACTTAAACCTTCAACCTTAACTTCTTCTCCGGATTTCTATAGTTGGAACCGACACCTCTGCTCTATAATGCTCCACTCGGGGTCCCAACTTTCACACATTCATCCAACCTTTACTGTACCAACACTAGAGCTATCGAAGTGGTCAAAATGTTTTGTAAATTCTAATCAAAATTGTCAGCATATCCTAAAGAAAATTTCAACCTTAACCTCTGATCCTTCTTGTTTCTGTAACTGGAACCGACACCTCTACTCTGTAAGTGCTCCACTCGCGGTCCCAATTATCACAAATTCACCCACCTTCTACTGTATCAACACTAGAGCTATCGAAGTTGTCATAATGTTTTATAAATTCTAATCAAAATTGTCAAAATATCCTAAACAAATCCTTTGCTCCTACTTGTTTCTGTAACTGGAATCGACTCCTCTACTCTGTAAGTGCTCCATTTGGGGTCCCAACATTCACACATTCATCCAACTTCTACTGTATCAACACTAAAACTATCGAAGTGGTCAAAATGTTTTGTAATTTCCAATCAAAATTATAAAAAATTTACTAATTATTTTTAATTAACAAATCGACTAAAAAACTACTATGCAAATTTCAGGATTATAGCCCAAATATACGTAACAAAATATATACAAATTCAAACAAAAATGTGCAGAATTCCACATTCTAATAACTTCTAACAGTCATTGTTTGGAAAAGGGGACTCCTCATCGATTTCGATGATTTTCAAATATGTTATAGAACTCAATATTCTAAACAAGCTTTTATTATACGTATAACCTCCGCTAGGCTTTAGTTTCCGAGGTATTTGCAAAATTCTGTTGGTACTATTATGTTGAATTATGATAGAATTTTGCAAATATCTCAGAAATTAAAGCCCAGTGGGAGTTACATGTATGAAACGACGAGAATCTATAAGTCTATAAATCTATAAGTTCTTAAAATGCGAAATTCCGCACATTTTGTTTAGAATTCACAGATATTTTATTACGTAATCTGCTGAAGAAAATGAATAAACATTTATTTCCATTGCATTATATATATATTTCGTCAACTATCTATCACTTTAATTTCTTTGGTACAAGTAAATAGAACCTAATTGTACTTCTAGTGTTAATGAAAATTGTAGTGAAAACAAAACACAAGGTGACAATGTTAGATCTAAAAATTATATCGTAGACTGTTCAAATCGATTCTTGGACGAGCATAATTCTCGAGAGAAAGTGTAGAACCTGTGGAGGTGCAACAGTTCTGTGCCTACAAATGAGGAAACCCCCTTAAAGCAGCAACATGTTGTACACAGATGAATGAGATTCGCTGGAAAACTGTGTTTCGCAGTTTTTAAGTTTCTTAATGGATTCATAAACCTATCGATTAATAAACGATTTATACAGAATACTGTGGATTTCGTACTACAATAGAAAAGTGGGTGATTCTTCATTGGAAAAATAAACAAATACTTGGAGATGAAACTTGAACTTCGTGAAGCTTTAATTTCAGAAAAATCAATTTTAACTTATTTAAATCGCACAGGACTGATTATATTTGTTGGTATACGATTTATTCTGATCATCCAACTGTTGACAAAATGGTTTCTCGCGAGAAGTCTAGTCTATACAAAATACACCAACTGCAAAGTTCTTTCTCCGACAAGTTAAAAGCTTTTTCTCATTTCTTGGTCCATTTAAAAGGTTCCGTCCTTTTTTAGCAAGTAACTCAACGGTCATCGTGCTGAAAATCTTAATGAACTTCTATCAGTGACTGTTTAACCTAGACTGGCACTCGAAACTTCTCATTTCCCTGGTTTGTTCGTTTCCTTTGTGGTCTAAACCTCTCACTACTACCATATGCTTGAACTCACGAAGGACGCTGATAATCGTATCTGCGTTACTGTTCCAAACATTGTGAGTTATTTATTCTATTGCGCCTCCTATCAGAATTGAAGCTGTCTCTGTTCGGTTGCTTCGTGATATTTGCAATTGCCTCGTGTGGCTACAATTATTCTAGTTCCTACTGACAATGAACACGGTCTATTAACTTGATCGAGGAGCTTAATCTTCCCGGATAATATACGTATAAACTATGTTATAGCAAGCTTATCGCCTTGCTGTATTTAAGCTGTTTTAGTTACCCCTTATGACGAAACATCATTCACCATGAAATGTTCGATTTCTTGCTGACGTAAATCAAATTCTCTGTATCTCTTAAACTTTGTTGTAATTCGACCTTAAGTTCTTCCATTCAAACCATTCGACACCAAACAATCCCATATAGAATATTTTAAGAAAAACATAACTTTCTGAAGTGTAAAATATTTTCAAGAAATTAAGACAATCGTATATTTCAAGATTTGAAGCGGATGACACGATCTGGTGAAATTATACAGGTAAAAACAAAAGAAGAGCGTAGAATAGAATTTATGTAGCACATACAGGATTCTGATATCGAGGAAATCGACTTCCTGCGGTTTAGTGACACTGCAAAATGTAGACATTCGCAGATATTGATGGCGTCAATGTGAAAGGATGTTCCTACAGCATGTTGATGGTATTGATGTCAAAGGACGTACCGATAATATATCGATGGTATCGTTGTCAAAGGATGTACTGTTAAAATGGTATTATACCACGTAAGTCTTGTAGGACTATCTTTCTTGTGTTTGGTATCCAAAGCAATCGCTTACATGGTCCAGGTTAACTTGAAAGCGACTGTAATGCAGCGTCCATTTTTGGTCCACGTTCTACTTTTGGAAAAAGAAGATCAGACAATAACAACTGAACGCAATTTTTATACTCTCTTCACTTAATTTCTTCATTCGATTATAATTTGATACTTTTACGTTTTGTCTTTCTTTTAAAAGAACACCATTAGCATGTGTTAAGTACTATTTGTTTAACAAATAAAGAATCGTATTTTCAAACACGATATAATTTATTTGACAACAGCGTAATATAAACACAATGAAGAGTTAGGTAAAATTCTTCAAAATTCTATTGGATCATCCTAAAAGTCTCTGATAATTTTTGCTACACCTAATTCCAGATGTCTAAAGTATTATGTAAATGTGGTTAAACATATTATATATTGTTATCTTCGTGGTTATTTTTATTTAAAATGATTTTCGTGTTCTTAAAAACTAAGCAGATATTTAGATAACCTAGCTTCATTGTGGATACCCTGTATATATTATTTTACGTAAAAATTTGACACTGTATGTGTGTAGATACGCAGGCTTTATTATATTTTGCTTTATACGACAGGACTGGTTTACCAAAATATCATGAAATTTGATATAGTGAATCCTATACACGGGGCAAACTTTTGAAAAATTTTGTCGAATAATGGGGAGACAGAAACATATTTTGTATGCATGAAATTTTGTTAACGTCTGCTTCGCTTTATATCTCGAGAGTGGTTTTATAAAAAGCCATGGAATCTGATACAATAACTTCTATATGTGGGACATTAACGTCACTAAATTTTCGAATAAAAAAGTTTATCTCTTTTTTTTTTAGTTTTCGTAGCCTCGAAAATTTAAAATTCAAATGTAATACCGGAAATATTCTACAACATTATCAGTTTTTTTTTTTCATATTTTTATGTTTGTATTTTTTATACAATTACGAAAATGGAGAAACGATTACTTAAATTTCTTCATCTACTATAATTGCCGCGCGAATTGGAACAAAATTCGTGACATCGAGGAAAAAAAGTGATCGATCTGGCGAGAAATAACGACTAGATATTTTCGAAAATGGCAGCTGCCTGTCATTCGTTCGACAATAATCATCCCACGCACAGTGCAGTAACACCATCTAACGTCATCGAATGTACAGTAATATTTGTCAACTTGAAGAACAATCGAGATAGGGACAGCTCGCGTAACTTAAGGAGAGATTATTGCGTAACACTAAAAGTTACTGATATTTATGAATTCTTTTCTTTTTAAATTATTGTTAACTTGGATTTAACTTTTTTGAGACTGTAAGAAGGC